TGTGTGTGTGCGTGTGTGTGTGTGTGTGTGAGTATGTGTGTATGTGAGTGTATGTGCGTATATGTGTGTGTGTATTTGTCCCACGTACTATCAACACAGAAAAACGCACTCACCTGCAACAACAACAACAACAACAAACACAACAACTGCAACAATAACAAACCACAAACAACAACAACAACAACAACAACAACAACAACAACTAACAACAAACAAAAGCATCAAAAGAACTCACACTTTGTCCCAATCTCCCTCCATATAGCAGAGCTTCAGGAAGAATAGAGGGGGCAGAATGTAGGCCAGAAGGGTGGTGGTGGAGCCTCCGATGAGGGAGAGGATGGGGCCAAACTGCGGGATGGACTCTGCCACAAAGAGAACCACGCCCACCATGATGGTGCGGAAGATCACTCGACGGACGTTGAATTCTGGGGGAAGAAACCAAGTTTGTCAAAAGAGTGGTTGTTGGTGTGGCGAGAAGCATATAATAACAACAAAATAACGGTAATTTGGCGCAAAAGATCACTCGACGGACGTTGAATTCTGGGGCAAAAGAAGTTTGTCAAAGGGTGTTTTTTTGGAGTGTTCAATTTTGTAAGAGTTTTACGGCACTTGCAACACAATAAGGTCATACAAGTGCAGAAGATTAGAGGTGTTACAAGAGAGTAACAAAGACAGATAGAACCGATAGAAGCGAGGTAAGGACGATAGATGTTTTAGTTTCGTTTATAGTTTTAGTAGAGGTTTTACGGTGCTCGCGCATAAGGTCATATGAGCGCCAGAAGGTTAAAGGTGTTACAAGAGAGTAACAAACATAAAAAGAAGAAGGGGAGATAAGGAAGATAGATGTTCGATAGGAAAGAAGAAGCAAACCACATCAGAGCACCCGCCAACCACCCACGATAGATGTTTGATAGGAAAGAAGGAACACACAAACAAACAAACAAACAAACGGCCAGACAAAAAGACATGATAAAGCCACCGGCCACGAACCTTTGGGTATTTTCAGCAACTCTTCCAGCTCCTGACACACAGGGTTGATGACGATGATGAAGCCACAGAAGAGATGGAGCGTGATGAGGACTTGTACAATGTACAACATGGGACCTGCACTCACAGTGTTCAGGATGTTGGACTTGGCGTTGGAGCCATACACAACATAGCCGGCGATAGCCACAGGCAGGTACATCCCCAGCACGACTGGAACAGGAGAAAATAGAAAATAGAAATGAAATTAAGTAAAATCTAATTTAATTAGATTTTGTGTTTGTTTTCTTTTTAGCAAACGTTAAAGTTAGTTTTAGAAAGAGTTTTATGGCACTTGAAACACAATTAGATAATATAAATGTAAATGATTAGAAGTATTACAAGAAGGTAACATACAGCAGCAGCAGCAGCAACAACA